AGGCGACCACACCCCGCTGAGAGTTTTGATTCTTGGTGTAGGAACCTTGACTGTGGTTCTGGAAATGACCACTGGGGGCATCATTGTCTACATTGCTCAATGGATCAAGAGGAATGGGAGGGTGGGGGAGACCCCTAGGGTCTCTGTGTGTCTGTCTCACTCAAAGGGACCTTTATCTCTAGTGTTCCAGAGCAGGGTAGTCCTCTGACAGGTGGAAAGTGGCTCCTGGCACGTACACACAGGCTGTGTGCCATTGTTCAAGGCTAGAGCTGAAAGGAGGGGAGGGGTGTGGCCTTGGGATCATCAGGGACAAAGGCTACCAGGAATCACTCATATTTAAGTGTCAAAGATGGAAGCCGGGCGTTGGTAGCGCACGCCTTTAATCCCAGCACTCGGGAGGCAGAGGCAGGCGGATCTCTGTGAGTTCGAGACCAGCCTGGACTACCAAGTGAGTTTCAGGACAGCCTCCAAAGCCACAGAGAAACCCTGTCTCGAAAAACCAAAAAAAAAAAAAGTGTCAAAGATGGAATTAATGTATGGATCCACTGGGTTGCTATGGTGAGACTGTTTTTGGTTTGGTTTCGTAAACATTTACAGGTGGCCCTCAAGTTCATATCAGTTAACACGATGAGTGACTGCAAGTGCTCTCGAGACCCTGGACAAATGGAGAGCCTCAGATTTTACATGTGGGACTGCGAGATGGTACAGCCACTGTGCCAAGCAACCTTCCGGCAAGTCTGTACCTAGGAGCACAGACCCTGAGGATTCAAGTCCCCACGAAAACGTGCATGTGAAGGTCCACGGGAGCATGGTGGAGTCGTGCAGATGTCTGTCAACTGAAGAGCAAGCAAACATGGAAATCTCTGCGTGGAGGCTCACAGCAGCTTGTTTCCCGATAACCCCTTGGTGAGTCCACGCTTGTCAACTAAGGATGAACTTGGTGGGGGACGGCTTCATTCAGCCGCAGAGAGGAACGGTGTTCTGACACACGCTAAACATTTGTGGGTCTGAGCCGGGTGGTGGCGGCGGCGCACGCCTTTAATCCCAGCACTCAGGAGGCAGAGGCAGGCGGATCTCTGTGAGTTCCAGCCTGGTCTACAAGAGCTAGTTCCAGGACACCCTCCAAAGCCACAGAGAAATCATGTCTGGAAAACACCCTCCCCCCAAAAAAAACCCCAAACCAAACCAACCAAACAAACAAAAACATTTGTGGGTCTGGAAAATGCTCAGGGGAGGAAGCCGGTCCCGGGAACCACAGCTTCTGGCTTCCATCTCTGTGGCAGGACACATGTCAGCTGGAGGCACCTGGCACCAGAGCCGGAGGCTGGGAACAAGCTCCAGGTTTATCTTCACAAGAAGGCTAAGCCAGCTGAAGACAAAATGAATGACTCTCCGGTGATGCAGAAAATGGGATATATTGTCTGATACCCACTTCCCCATAGAGGAGCCAAGCCAGCGGAAGCCAGCATGGCATGGATGTGAGGCTGACTCTCCACAGGTACAGATAACTGTGTAATGGAGACTCACTTCCCTGTAGAAGGGCCAAGCCAGCTGAGGCCCGAATGACAGGGATCTGAGGCTGGCTCTCACGGAAAGCCCTGCACAGTTGTTTAGGCGAGGACTTCCACAGTGTGATGCGAGTGTCTTTTGCTGATGTTTGAAAGGTCAGTCGCTACAGATTTAAAGACACGTCCCATTGCCTGCCACGGCTCCTTGCTTAGGGCTGGCGTCGGCAGTGGCGCTGCCTATGACGGTGCAGGTGGCCATTCTGAGCTCTGCGTCTCCCCCGACTCCTCACTGTCCTGCGCCTCCCTTTCCCTGACATCCACGTCACACTAACTGTTCCCTGTCTCGGTACAGCCATCCTCTGACACACAGGCTCCATACAGGGCACTGCTTGCCTCACAAGCTTAGCCCAAAGCCTGAGCCCCTGCTCTCTGGGCCGGAATCTAGGTATCGGGCCAGTTTTCGGGATGCCAGGTGGGACCTGGGTGTTTCCTGACTCTGTTCGGGGTTCTCAGATATCCCGTGTGTTTCTCTTTGACTTTCTGGTCATCCCCACGATAGACAGAGGGGCAGGTCACTGTGTGTCAGTGGGAGCCTCCTTGGAGCTGGGAGTGGGGTGGGTGTGTCATCACTAGCTAGCAGGGACACTGATCTGAGTTGGAGGAAGGAAGGAGGACTAGATTGTGTGGAGCCATCAAGAATGCCATCGTCAGTGCCATCATTAGCCACAGTGGACCCTGCTTTCCTGTACCCAAACCACCCCAAGGTTCACATCTGCCCGTTACTTCTGTGCATACTTAACTCCCAGGTCCACACAGTGCTTGGGAGGCCTAACAGTGCACAGAGCACACATCAGAAGAGCCTCGCCAGCCCCTTTAATATTTGATAGGACTGTTAGGCTGGAGCTCCGGCCTCCTGCTCACCCTACCCCATCTTCAGAGTGAGGACGTTGGGAACCCTGGGGATGAGATTTGGACTCATGGTGTGTGTTTATCATTATGCGAGGCTTCTTCCTCCCCATTGGCTCCTGGGGCCTGGGATGGCCAAGTCCATTGGGTCCCCACACTGACCCATGAGGAGCCTGGCCATGGCTCTCAGATCCCGAACCTTCTCTTCTTAGGAGCTACTTTCCAGAACTAGGGTGTGGAGTGACTGTGAGAAGTCCCAGGGTAAGTGACCCAGGGTGAGGCTGGCAAAACTTCAGCCAGACCATGTCCATGGACATCAGTTAGCATCCAAGTACAGACTACCTAGGTTGGGCAATCTCTAGTCTTGCTCCTGGTGACTTCGCAGAGGGCTCCCACTGCATGGAGGGGACACTCTGAGGACTGGAGCTGTTCCTGACATGACACTGAGGAAGTCTTGAATAAATTCTGCGGTTTTACTTGCTTTTCGATGATTTTTAGCAACACGAATTTAGGAGAACACACAGCCGAGAAGTGTGCTGTTATTCATCCCTACACAGGAAGACAGTTCTGCTCTGCTCTCCATAACGCCTCTGCCACTCTTGCCCAGATCACTTTCTAGGGACTGGGCAGCCCTCTGTGAAGTCACTTGTTCCTCTCTTCTGCCTGTGTGGGTGCCTGATGGCTGACGTCACTCCTGACAGCCCCCCCCCCCCCCCCCCGTTTAGACTGTGGCTGCCACTCTAGTGACTGTGAGTCACCCAGGGGGACACGACCATTTCTATGCGCTCACCGCTGATCCATCACTGCTTCTCCAACCTCCTCGCCCAGACCTCTGTATCCATCTCTCTATCTCATCACTCCCCCTGCCCTCTGGGAGGTGCCTTGTCTCTACTCCTCCACCCTGGCTCACGGATGAGCTCTCCCACTCTCAGAACGCCCCCTGCGGGGGCTGGCACAGTGTGCTGCCACAGATTCTCCTCTTGGAGCTTGTGAGTCACAGAGCTCCGCCCCCATGAGCTGCTGCCCTGTGCTAGCGTCCTTACTGTGGCCCATAGCCACCCTTGCTGGTCCTGTCCTCTTGGTGACCTGGTCTTTGGCTAATCTTCTTTGGCACCAGCTAGCTCTCCCCCCCCAGGTCTGTACCCTGTGTTCCTCCCATGTTGTTCCTGAACCATTGCCCTCACTGTAGTCAATCTTGTGTTCACATGTCATCTTGGTGAAGATGGCTTAGACAGTTCAGCTTAAAGTACAAACACCTCCCCCCATGTCAACACTCTCTGAACAGCTTGTTCCATTTGGTTTTCCCCTTAACATTTATGACCTTTTAAATACTTTATAATTACATGAACCAGGGTTCATTCAGGACACAGAATGGCACAACAGACGTTACAGGAATGCTTATGTAATGAACAATTAGCAATGCAGATGTACAGACAGCTCTAAAGAATAGCTTGAGGCTGCAGGAGGTGGTTTGGGGGTGCGGTACCCTCCACAAGGCCTGGTTCAGGCCTGGTGGGAGAAGGTGTGACTGCAGCCCAGGGTATCTGCCTGGGTCAGGGATGTAAGTCAGGGCAGGGGACAGCAATCGGAGAAAGGCACACTTGCTTCCTAGCAAGCAGGGAGCCTGTCTTCTCTGGCAGGTCTGCATCTGGATAGGTAACTATTTGGGGCCCACTGAGGCCAGTGGGACTGAATGACCTGCATGACCTGATGGGTTTAGAGCTCGGTGTCATAGACAAAAGACAGAGTTCTGAAGTAGACCTTAGCAAATGTGCTCGGGTGAGATAAACGTATTTCCCCATGAGAGAAAACTAGTGACATTTGTCTTTCCGTCTCCTAATGTCTTGTCCTTCCACCAGACTCTGCCTTCCCGCATGTGGTCACCCTTGTACTTTCATGTCATACAAAGGTGTGTAGTATATGTACATATTTGCATGCGAGTTCTGCAAATGAAAGAAAACATGCGAATAGGGTCACCAGCTTCATACATCTTCAACACATGGACCTGTGGAGGACGCTTCAGATTCAGACGTGACAGGGCGCTAATTTATTTCACCCCTGCCTTTAAGTTTGTGTGTTAGGGAAGCACGGGAAGAGATGCAGGCACTAGACGGGGAGGCTGGGAGGCTGTCGGTGTGTGGGGAAACGTCTCCCACAGCTTCTGGGGCCTGTGAGATTGACCTTCAGCACTTCCAGTCACAGCCAGAGACAGCAGCAGACTGACGGTGTCCCTGGCTCTGTCAATCACGTGTGCATACTGTTCTCCTGTTCAAGGATTGAGACACGTGTGCCTATGTGGTCAGTGCTTAGAGGGATGACTCATGCATGCTAACTAAGGACAAACTGTCAGGTAAGGGAAGCTTCTTCCATGGCATGGAAATGCTAGCCTGCTCCCTAACCTCTGGTCCTAAAGACCACTGGCCCTCCCCTCTCACACCCAGAACGTCAGGCCTCCTGCTCAGCCCCTTCTAGAGTAAACTCGTGACCCGGGCCACGCCAACTGCTCAGCACAAGCCAGGGCTTGTCAGAGAGAGTGCTCACTAAGATTGTTTGTGGATACTTGAGCCTGTCCACCTTTGGTCCAGACAGGCACAAAGACGCCATTGTGAGACCAGAACCCATCTCCAGAGCCATGGAGTGAGGACAGCCCACAGGAACTGAACCCTTCTCCAGAGCTGACCTTCTGGGTTTCAGGGCAGGTGGCCAAGTTCAGGAAGTGCACAGTGAGGAGTGGGAGACAGAGTTTCTACGGGGAAGGAGGCTGGGCTAAGGCCTGACGACAGGGCAGACATCATGAACTCAGAACACAGGCATCACATGGAGTCCTGGTGCCTTTTGCATCATTTACCCAAAGGGAATGAGATCTGGCCATGTGGAGAGCCTATGCGTGCTCAGAGCTAATGAGGAGGAAGCTGTGGATCCAGAGGAACCAAGTTCAGCAGGAGCACGGGGTGGATTCAGGACAGGCTGCGATGGACGCTGGTTCTTCACCCAGGGCACAAGATGGCAAGAAATGAACACACGTGGACCTCAGTTGTACCAGGGCAGCCCTGGCTCTGAAAATGTCCTCTCAGCAGGTCCTCAATGACAAGAGCAGCAGAAGACCAAGTCCCCTTGTTGGAGACGAATCCCCTGATGACACAGAGGTGAAACCCTATTCACAGATCACTTGAGGATCTGTGTGGCTGGAAATGTTCACGCAGCCAACTTAAAATTGTGAAGTTTGGAAACTGAACCCTAACTGGTTGAGGAGATGGGCACTGGTCAGTTAGTGAAAAAGAACCAGACATCTGAGAGTAAGAAGTGGTCTGCAGAGAGCACAGCTGGCCCCGGTGCAGAATGACGTGGGGCAGGGTCATGGTGAGCCTAGTGTGGCACGGGGTCTACCCTGATGATGTTTAAGCTGACTAGAGTCAGGGGTTTGTGTCCCCACTCACAGGAAGGTCCAGGTGGGGTACCCATGCAGGGATAGGACAATGAAGTGGGCTCCCTCCAGGCAGGGCCCAGCCATCTGGGAACCAGCAGACAGTCTCTGGGGGTGAAGCCTAGCCCTGCTCTCAGCAGCGGGAGGTCAGAGGCCAGGTCTCAGGGGATGTAGCTCAGGGCAGCCATGGCAGATGGAGGGCCAGGGTGTGGAGAGAAACCTGACCCTCCCTCCCTGCTCAAAGTGCAACCTCCCTGCACCTGAGTCACTCACCTTCTGCAGGGTCATTTGGGAGCACAACCCTTGGTGGCACAGACATTGTGGAGGCATCGTGTGTCTGCCTTCATCTGTAGGTGACATTGAGTTGATATTCATCAGATCCCAACAACAACAACAACCTTCCACCTCCATGATGGATGCGGATTTGGCCATGGTAGAAGGACAGGAGGTACGTGGCCAGTGCCAAATGGGCACACATCCCTGGCCATTGGGGATATAAAGTGCACTCTGTGAGGAGCCAGAGCAGACTTTCTCCAGGTGACCTGCCTTGTGTGAGAGCCCAGCAGCTGATGATGAAGAGCGTGCTCCTGACCTTCTTGTTTCTGGGGATGGTGGCTGTGCTGAAGGCCCAGGAAGTCCCACTAGATGACAAGGAGGATGTGAGGAGGGGAATATCAATGGGTAGGGATAGGATAAAGGCATGGCCTTCTGCTTGGTGCTGGTAGATTTGAGCTGAGATGCAGGATGTTTCCTGGAAGGTTGAGTTTGGCCTTGCGCTGAGCAGTCAGATCTGGGATTCCACCTCTCCACTGGAAGGTGGGCATCCTCCTGAAGACAGGTTAGAGTAGAAAACAGATTTTGGTAAGTGGTTCTTGTCAAGTTGAGAGCAGGGCTGGGCTTCACCCTCAGAGCTAGAAGGCCTCATAGGCAAAAGCATTCAACCAGTGCTGAGGTGTAGACCTCAAGAGTTTAGATCCCTGGGGTGGGGAGCACACACTTTGTACCATCATGGAATTGGGCAGTCTAAGTGCTGGCATCTCTTTACTGACCAAAGATCTTGGGACATATGGGGTTAGTCCATGTCAGTGGCTGCAGCCTGGGCTCTGGGATGTCTACTCAGGTGCTAGCCCATATGCTGGAGCCTGGGATACAAGCAGGGCCAGACTTGGGTGTACTCAAAGCTTTGTCTCCTGCAGTTCGCTGGGATGTGGTACCCAAAGGCCATGATACACAGTGGGAACCTATCCAGTCACGAGGTACCTACAAAGATGTTCCCTGTGAAGATAACAGCCCTGGAAGGTGGAGACTTGGAGGCCACAGTTATATTCTGGTATGTGCCTGCTGCCGTGGGCCTCTGTAGTTGTTTGTCTCTCCCCTGCTATCCACTGTTCGAGTTTGAGTAACTAGAAGATCCCAACCTTTGAGGGGACACAATCTCAAGCAGTATGGTAAAGCTGGGACAGGGAATTTAGGGGATCACCTGGCCGGGGCTGATCTACCAAAAGAGCTGAGAGGCCTCAGCTATGTTGTTGGGAGCAGCCTGACTGTGCCCTTGTGCTTTACAGGAAGAAGGGTCAATGTCGTGAGTTTAAAATCATGATGGAGAAAACCGACGAGCCTGGCAAATACAGCACCTGTGAGTTCCCTGTATCTTATTGTCTCCTGCAGTGGCAAGTCTTTGAATGGATGGGTCCTTCCCGGTCCAGCTTCTAGGACAGGCCACCCACTCACTTTTTCATGTACCAGATATTACAGGACATTGGCTGGTCAACCCTAGATAGAAACTGACTGCCTCTTGGTCCTGTGCCTAGCTCAGCTCTTGACCCACGAGAAACCAATGCTAAAGCCAAGGAAGCCAAGTAGTGAGATGATCAGGCCTGGGTCCAACCTCAGCCGTCTTCTCTGAACTCCTTAGCTGGGTTTGGCAGCTTCCTGAGAAATGTCTAACTGTGGGAACCACAGGAAAAGCCAGGGCTAGGCTAGCTAAGTCTCCTAGGTGACCACCAAAGTGTTCCAAGGTGTTCCTTCACATGGTCTCCAATGGTGTCTCAAGGACCCAGACACCAACAGCTATTTCTGTTCATGCGCAGTTCACGGCAAGAAGTTTATTTATATCATAGAGCTGCCTGTCAAGGACCACTACGTCTTCTACTGTGAAGGCCATCACCATGGGAAGTCATTCGGCATAGGAAAACTCATGGGTGAGGTGCCATGGAGGCCCCATGTCCTGTCCCTGGCCTCTGCTTCCAGCAGCCATGAGAAAGGCTGTAGGCATGCCTGGCACCGGGGGCTGGGAAGCCTCTGAGTGCTGCACCCAGGGTGCTGCCCAGGAAATGTGTGAGATCCAAAGGGGAAGGTGGTGAAAAGTGGGTGGGATGGGACTTTGGGGACCTTTGGAGATCTGATCACTCAGACAGGTTCCCACCCCTGGAGCCAGCAAATGCCACTTCCGGGGATCTCAGTCAAGGGTCAGGTCAATTTCAAAGGAAATGTCTTGGCAGGGGCCTTTATGGTCGGTAGGGATCCTCCAGGGTCAGGGAACAGCCTCATGCCCCTGAGATTCAGGGCTCTTACAGGTCTGTGGAATGATTCTGTCTGAGTGTCCACACACCAAAGTTCCCTGTCCACTGCCAGGGCTCTCTCTCAACCCTCATACTGGCCAGTGCTCCCATCCTCTTGTCCCTGGTGCTCTGCAGAGCTGAGCCCACCCCTCAAGCCTGCCCCACCTCCCCACAGGGAGAAACCCTCAGGAAAACCTAGAGGCCATGGAAGAATTTAGGAAATTCATACAGCACAAAGGACTCCAAATGGAAAACATCTTCATACCAGAGCTGAATGGTGAGAGCAGGGCTGCCCATGCCTCCCCTCTGTGTCCCCGTGTCACCTCTGACTGTCAGTACCCCCATGCATGTCTGACTGTGTGTCTTCTATGTCCTTTCTGTGCCGAGCCCTACTGTCACTCATGTGTGGTTTCCCACCTGTCCATCTCCCCTGCGTCACAGGGTTGCCAGGCCCTGCTTCAGGTCTTGGCTGTGGGAGGGTCTGAGTCGCAGGTGTGATGGGTCTTACAGGACCCTTCTCACTCCTGGGCCTCTTTTGCTTTCTACAGATAAGTGTGTTCCTGAAAGCAACTAGGGTGAGTATCCCCTCCCTGCCCCCACCTGTAGAAATGTGGAAGAGCCTAGAATGCAGGGCTCAGGAACGGGAATGTCCTCATCCTATCCACATAGACAAGTGTGGTCACTAGAGGTGACCCTGAGTGTGGTTTCCAGAAGGGATAGGAAGTTCTTCCTTTTTGTCATGATCTCTTCTAGTCCCTGGTCTCTGCCTTGTCCTCACTTCCATTCTCTCTAAGGAGGCTGAGACCTGGCTACACAGGGGAGTGGTACAGGGATTACTTTAGAGGTCCTAGCAGGGAGCACACAGGAAAAGAAGATCTCTGTCCCATATCTGCCCTGGGGCATCCCTGCCCATGACTACCCTGACTGCTGCTCCCACAAAACTGGGCCACTTATCTCTTTTCCTCTCTCTACCGTTGCAGCTACCCAGGTCTGTCCCTGCTGAGCAAGCCTTGCTTGCCACACCTGACTGGGACATCACTGCACCACACCTCTCCTGAACCAAACTCCCCACTGCCCCCCATCAAGCCTTGGCCTCCCCTACCCCACCTGACTCCAAATAAACCCTTTAGCAGTGCCCTGGCTCAGTCTGTCTGTGAAGGGCCTTGTGTGGGCTCTAAGAGCTCTGCTGGAGGCAGACGCACAGGAAAAAGCACAGTGACATTGTCCAACAAGGATGGGCCAGTGCCCAAGGAGCGTGACATCTGACTTTCCCATGGTCCTAGAAGCCCCCACCTGGTGAGCTGCTCACTGTCGGGCTGGGCCCTGGAGGAGTGCCCGAGAAGCCCCGGATGAGGCAGGGCTGTGTGAACGTCACTGCAGGGCTCCTGCTCAGCAGGACTTGGACTTCTGGGAGGGTCCTTCCTTGAGAAACTGAGCTCTGAACAGGGGGGAGTAAGGGTGGTTAACTCCTCCATCATGTCCCCTCAGGAAAGACAGAAGCAACCACAGCCTCCGCCAGCCCTGTCCCCCACTCCAGCCCTCCCCCACAGTTTTCTGAGGACCAGGGAGCGGGCTTTCTCTGTCAGTAGGGACATGGTGGCCACAGTGAGGGAGAAGACCCCTCCCAGGTGATCAATGTAGCCTCAAGGTGCAAACCCCAGGGGAAGCTGGCCTTCCAGAATGTCACCTTTTGCTGAGGGGCTGTTGGCACTCAGGCTAGTGTCCTCCGCTCAGTGACCTCCAGTCTTGCCTGATTCACTCTTCCCTCTGAATTCCTCTCCTATCTGAACCTAGCTCTTGCTAGGAGCTATTGGGTGTTCCTAAGGTGGGGCAACTGTGTAGGTGCAGGTGGGGCCTGAGGTATCCAGGACACTTTGGAGGGCAGGGCCAGGCCAGGCTGGATCCCACAGACATACCAGGCTCTCTTTTTGCTTAAGACAGGGACTGTGCATGGCTTTAACAGTGGGCCCCAGAACCACCCCAAATTCAAATATTTCATATTGTTCTCTTGTGGTCAGTACATCAGGAAGACCAAGCCAAAACAAGCAGAGATTGCAATCTGACGCCACACCACATTACAGTATTCCATCCCGATTCCCTCCTCTGTGTCTCTGCTGGGGACTCAGTCAGGATACTGTGGACTTGCTGTGACAGCTCAGGAGCTGTGACTGTGCCCTGGAGGAAAGGGCAGAATCCTAGCTGGACACAGAGTGAAGAGGTGCCCTGCTTTTCTGTCAGCTGCCCCGCACTGGAGCCTTCTCTGAAACTTCTTGGGCTTCATTATTGCTGGAAGGGAAGCAGCAGGGACTCCATCTTGGCAGGGACAACTTCCTCCTTCTGGAACTCTGAACCCATTTTCTTTAAAGACATACTGACCAACCAATCACCTTGTGGTCTGTTGGGGCTTGTGAGCTGGATGGAACTTTTACAGGTGGTCCCATCACGTGTCAGAGGCTGGGCAGATGGAAGATAGAGCCAAAGGCACTGTAAAAATGCCACTTTTATGTTACTGTGTTCATGCAGGTATGCACAAGCCGCGGCCTAGTGTGGAGGCCATGGCCCGACTTTAAGCAGGCAGCTCCCTTTCCAGGTTACGTGGGTTCTGGGGATTGCGTCAAGTGTCAGGTTGTGTGTGGCAAGTGTGTCTCTCACTCCCGGGCCGATCCTGCTGCTACCAATGACGCTTTTTCTTCACCACTGGAGGCTCTCAAGGATGGGATCTCCAGACTAGTCTGTTCTGTTGCTGATAAAATCATCGGGCAAAAGTGGCTTAAGGAAGGGGGTGTGTTTTGGCTCACAGCTTGAGATCACTGTCCATCATGAAGAGGAAGTCACGGTGGCAGCAGCTAGAGGAAGCTGGGCACATGGAATCCACAGTCAAGCAGCACAGACTGGACCAGCCAGATGGCTCAGAACCAGCTTGTCACCCTGAGTTCAGTCCTCAGGATCACGTGGTGGGGGGAGACACTTGACTCCTGCATGATCCTCTGACCTCTACACATTGGCCTTGTCATCTGAAAGCATGCAAGCACACACACGTGTGTGCACTCTCTCTCTCTCTCTCCCACACACACACACACAGAGTCATGCACAGAAAACAAGTAATAAAATGTAATAAAAATTAAAGTGTCATAGGTTGGTGAATGTTTGTGCTCAGCCTTTTTTTTTTTTTTTTTTTTGGTTTTTCGAGACAGGTTTCTCTGTATTGCTTTGGAGGCTGTCCTGGAACTCGCTAAGGAGATCAGACTCTGCCTCCAGAGTGCTGGGATTAAAGGCGTGTGCCACCAACACCAGGCTATGTTCTCTTTATGCAGCCCAGAGAATGGATCCACCCACAGTGAACGGTTAAACCCACCTCACCTCACCTAACCTAACCAAGACAATCGCCCACAGACATGCTCAGAAGCTGTTGTCCCTGGTGATTTCCATCAGGCTGACACCTGAATGGACCACCACAGCTAGCCAGTTTACCTGGAGGGTGTTCTTCAGTTTAATTCTGTCTGTCCTGTGCATGGGGTGTGGCATCTGAGCACTGTGTGTCAGGCTGTTTGAAGCTGTGCATCTGCAGAATGTCAACAGGGAACCCTAAAGCGCTACAGGAAAAATGTTACATGTAACCAGCAAAAGCAAACATGTAATGGCAAACTAACTTTCTTAAAAGTAAGTGCTCCTTGGAGGTAGTGTCACTAGCTTGGCTGTAAATGCTTATTTTTGTAGGGGTGGGGTGTGGGAGATTGAGAGACCAGAACTATAGGTGACTAAAGACATACCAGGTGGCTAGAATCACAGGGTGGGGTGACAGAGATGGGGCACAGCACAGCTCTGAGCTGCCACCCAGGGCAGCCTGAGGGGTCCCTCTGTCTGGAGCCCTTGACTCAGGCCAAACATGGCTTCAAGGCCTCAATGCTGTGAATTACAGGAGGAGCCAGTATGAAGCAGAGTTGGTGATTTGTTCAAAGAGAAAGAAAGCTGTTCAAGAAGAGAATACGGGCACTCCAGATTTGGGGACAAGGGCTTCTCAAAGGAGCATCACAGTTTATTATATGGCATTTAAGACTATGTTATAAACACAGGAGTAAAGAGATTGACTGAAACACACCCAGTTCTCAACAGAGAGTTGCTGTTTAGTTATATGTCAAGGAGATATTAAAGATTACAGCCTCTGGCCAGGCGGTTGTGGTGCACGCCTTTAATCCCAGCCCTCAGGAGGCAGAGGCAGGCAGATCTCTGTGAGTTTGAGACCAGCGTGGTCTAACGAGCAAGTTCCAGGACAGCCTCCAAAGCAATACAAATAAACCCTGTCTCGAAAAACAAAAAATATTAAATTCCCCCCCTCTGTCTGTCTGTCTGTCTTGAGACAGGGTTTCTCTGTGTAGCTCTGGCTCTCCTGGAACTTGCTTTGGAGACCAAAGCTGGTTTTGCACTGTGAGATTTGTCTGCCTCTGTCTCCCAAGTCCTGGGATTAAAGTCGTGTGCCACCAACTACTGTTTGTTCTTTTTGAACTTTTACTTGAAATATATCAACTTTCTGTATCTTATATGAAAATTCATTTAAAAATTAAAATAAATGAACACAAAACCAAATAAAACAAACCTTGGAGAGTTCAATTATTTGAAATATAGCACAAGAAAACCCTATAAGAAGTATGTGGTGTATAATTACATACAATTTCATATGAAATCTTTATTATTTTTAAAAAGAATTTTTTTAATGTGTGCTGGTGTTTTGTTTTCATGTATGTCTGTACACCAGGTCCAGATGGTGTATTTACATATATGCAGTCAAATCACTCATACATATAAAATAATACACATAAATATAAAAATAGTGTGGCTTTAAGAAAACCCTTTAAAAAAAAACACCACACCAGTATTCCTCGAACATCCTTTCACATGTGTTTGTTGCAGAAGTTTTCACAAAAGTGTTATGGAACCTAAGGACCCCTCATCCGTGGAACAAAGACGTGGTTCACATACAGAAATGGAATATTTTCAGTCATGAATAAGAGTAGAGTATGTCATTTGCAGGAAGTGAATGCAATTGAAGGTTATCATAATAAATCAGTTTCAGAGAGACCAGTATCTTTGTTTCTTTCATTTGTAGTTTCTAGATTTTATAGATGCATAAAATCAAACATGCTACATGAAAGTAGAAGAGTAACCGGGCAGACAAACTAAGGGAGGTGGAGGTGTATGAAACAGCAGGGAATGAGCGAGAATATGCTGAAAGTAGGCTGTATGCATGCATGAAAATGTATTCTGAGCTTGCACGACGCCGCGCCTCTAGCCTCTCTCCATAAGGTGGCGCGATACTTTGAGCGTGGCGTCTGGCGACCAGCAGTCGCCTCCTCCCTCTGCTCCAGACCGAGACCACGGCCTGGTGAAGGGACTGTCGGGATAGTAGGAAGGGGAGTGGTTCGGGCCTGATGCGCACCGCTTCAGGTTTCCGCAGCAGCTCTGCGCCCCTCGGTGTGGCCCTCAAACGCACAGCCGCGACCATGCCCCTCCACGTGAGCCTCGCCAACGGCAACCGGGACCTGGACTACGACTCGGTGCAGCCGTACTTCATGTGCGACGATGAGGAGGAGGACGTGCACCAGCAGCCGCCGCAGCCGCCGGCGCCCAGCGAGGACATCTGGAAGAAATTCGAGCTGCTGCCCACGCCGCGCCCGTCCCCGGGCCACGCCGGGCTCTACTCGCCACCCAGCGATGCGGTCGCCGCGTCTTTCTCCCCCAGGGAACACAACGATGACAGCTTATTCACCACAGACCTGTTGGAGATGATGCCCGAGCTGCCAGGAGGAGACGCAGTGAAGCATAGCTTCGTCTGCGACCCGGACGATGAGACGTTCGTGAAGAACATTATCCTGCAGGACTGTATGTGGAATGGCTTCTCGGCCTCCGCCAAGCTGGTCTCCAAGCTGGACCCCTACCAGACTGTGCGCAAAGAAGGCGCCAGTGCGAGCCCGGCCGCGGACACAGAGCCTGCGACGCCTCCAGACTGCACCTGCAACACCTGAGCGCCCCGCACTGGGTCTTTGGACTGTAAGCTTCGGCCATGTTAACTGCCTCAAATTCTGGGCATAAAAGAACTCCCTCCCCTTTTCTTTTTTAAAGCTTGCCATCCTCCCTTACCTCCCCCCTTAACAGATTTGTATTTGTTTACTTAAAAAAAATCTTAAAGTTTATCGATTTTCCAATGTCAACTGGACCCTTAAATGTAAATAACTTAAATAAAAGATTTTATCAGTTGTATGAGATCCTAAGATATGACGTATAAAAGTATATTTTCCTTTTAAAAGTAGATTCATTTCTATTGTTTTAAGAAGAACAGAATAACTGGCAAATATATTGAGCCCAAGCTAAAAGAAATGACGTTATGAAATACAAAAAATAAAATAAAAAACCAAGGAGCTACAGAAAATACTATTACGTATGCTAGAAGTAAGAAAGGGGTAATTTATGTTATCAAAAGGAAAAATGAACAAAAGAGGAAAAGACAAAAAGATTGTCTAATCGTAAAACAAATGTGTAAACAAAATGAAATAAATAGATTAAGGGGTTTAAAACTATGAACATAATTGAAAAATAAAATAAAGGTACTATTGAAGCATAGAAAAAGAAAACAACGTGAATCATAAGAGGTAAGAAAAAAACCCCAAATTATCGCTGTGTCTTCTTTCTGGGTCCTGTGAATTTGGAGGTGGCCGGGTGTGTGGGGAGTGTGGGGTCAGCTGGGCTTGTGGACTCTTGTCTCTCCTACCCTTGAGTTTGGTGCTGACCTCACATGGGACCAATGAACACAGGCGCTGTCATCACTTAGCCTACCAGGGGCCTCTGCTGGCCACAGTTGGCTTTGCAGTCTGTGTGCTGGGCAGCCCCTCCCACCCCCTTATCCTCTTACCTTCCCCAGTTCCTTCACACAGGAGTAGCTAAAGTTCTAGCTGAGAGGAGGGGAGGGGAGGGAGGGGAGGGGAGAGGAGGGAGGGGAGGAGGGAAGAGGGTCTCCAAGTATGCTGGGAGTGGGGCGAGCAGCCGCGGTGCAGAGCTCTGTACGTGCTGACCTGTCTTCCTACTTTCAAGGGCCAGCAAACTGGAGGCTGCTGCTGGGAGTCTGCAGGGATCTCAGAGTCCACAGAGGGACACCCAAGGCTAGGCACTGATACACCCGCTGGCCCCAGGCTCAGCGCTGTCAAACTCCAGAGGATTCTCAGTTGATAGGCAGGCTCCAGGCAGCTGGGGTGGGAGTCCCTTTTCCCAAGCAGTTCCCTGCCTGGGCCCAGCTTCCTGCCTGTTGGACCTTTTGACTTCTCAGTACCAGCCACCTACTGTCCATAGCTGCCTCCCAAGCTCTCCCGCTGGAGCTGGGGGGCAGGTTAAATTTGGAGTGCCTGAATTGCTGTGGTTCCCTGCCCCTGGCCTCCAAGGTAGATGAGATTTACACAACAGGTTCCCTCTCTGGACGGCTCCTGGCCACAGCCCTCAGAGCTGGGACACTGCTCTTCTCAGCCCACCCACCTGGACAGAAAGGCAACTGTTCTCCACAAGAGCAACGTCTGGATTTGAGGCTTGAGTGAGCTGTGAGCTTGCCCTGGGACTCTTGGCACCAGGGCCTCCTGGCTCCCCTTGGATGGAGCCCAGTGCTGGGGTTGTGCTTGGCTCTCTTCCCTTTGCTTTATCTTTCTGTAACTCCCAGCTGTCCTGTCGCCGCTTTTATGAGTGTCCAAAGTGGGTCCTTTCTTTGTAGTAATCTGTCTGTCTGTCTGTCTGTCTGTGTGTCTTTTTTTCCCTGTCCTACTCTTCTCCTCCACCAGGGCCCATGAAGTCACCTTCTCGGCCTCCATCCATCTGGAAGTCTCCGGTTTAGGCTTTGACCACGTTGGAGAACTACAGTAGGCCGATTGAGCCTTTTGTGAGCTTTTTCCAGGATGCCCATTAGGAATTAGTTCCAGTCTGTTTTGTGCCTGGTCTTATGCTCCATGAACCTCTAGCTAAGAGTAATCATCCGGGTACTCAGGGAGCACTTCCTCAGAGAACAAAATAACAAAACAACACAGGCCATGTGGCTATAAACAGACATTGATTTCACAGTTTCA